ATGCATTACTGTGGACTGAGAAGGATCCATCAGACCAGTCCTTCAAATCAGGGCAAAAYAGCCTTGAATTTGGACAGCCTCCGATGTGGCGATGTTAGCGGCCGACAAATTGGACCTTTGGAGGACGCAGCCCCTGAATTTGGACACAGCATCTCTGTGACCCAGTTCTACTGGGAAGTGGGAATTTCCCACTTATAAGTTGTAAATTAAAACTAGAAAGCCCAGTCCAGCGGGGGTTGGGAATTCAAGATGGCAGCTACTCACCACAACTCAGCAGGGAGTAAAGTGTCTTACATTTACTTTTATTAGTATTTTTGTCACATTTGGTCAGTTGTACACATAGTACTATATAAGCGTAAGCGGATATATTAAAATGTTGTTTCTATGCAGGAAATACCACGTAGAGCTCAGCTATTGTTTGTAAGTGGTGGTCAGCAATGAGACGAGGAACGTGACATTTTGTGTTTCGTCAAAGTTAAACGTGAAATGTTGACGTTAATTACAACAAACTCAGTTTTTCACAAATGCTCTGCCCAGATCTTAGTATCGTGTGATGTGTAAGCTGCTAACTGTTTCGCTTGTGTATTTTTGTTTGGTTCTTACCGCATTACAATGCAACCCCAAACATGTGGACCTTTTCTGGACTGCATCCAATATTTGCATTTTTTCACAATTTGCAGGTAGTCTATAAAAGTTTAAAAAACGGGGCTTCTCTGTATTGGTATTTATGCTCCTAATTGTTAAAGGGATCCCCGATTAGTTGTAACATTAGACTTTATATGATAAACATATACTTTAACTGTAAAATAAAGACTGCAAAAATACTGTAGGATGTTCAGTTTTTATAATTTTTAAACTTAAAGTTTAAAAGTATATTACACGGACGGGGACATTTTATTTACACACAAAGCATTCTGGGTAAATGATGACATCAACTAGGTCATCGGTGTTAGCGAACTATATCCACCCTGAAGGTTAATCTTGGACAATATCTGATGATTGACTCTTTTAAATGAAACCAGAGAGCGTTGATAGAGAGGAGAAGGTAGAAATGACGCAGCCTGTAACTGAAAATATGGATGGAGGACAACAGAGCTGCTTCATGGAAGAAGAACCTCAGCTTAGCCTGTTAGATTTAGTGTTAGCCCCAACGCTATCACCATATATATGTATTAGCTCAGCGCTACACATTCTCCTCTCGTCACTGAGGTCCTCCATCCACATGACAGAGAGGGGAACGCAAAAATGATTCAGCCTGCACCTGAAAATATGGATGGAGGACCTCAGTTTAGCTTGTTTGTTTGTTGCGCTAGCGCTGAGCTAATACATATAAGGCAATATAGCATGAAGGCTAACGCGAAGGCTAACAGGCTAAGCTGAGGTTCTTCTTCCATGAAGCAGCTCTGTTGTCCTCCATCCATATTTTCAGTTMCAGGCTGAGTCATTTCTACCTTCTCCTCTCTGTCAACGCTCTCTGGTTTCATTTAAAAGAGTCGATCATCAGATATTGTCCAAGATTAACCTTCAGGGTGGATATAGCTCGCTAGCAGCCTTGCACCGAGGACCTAGTTGAAGTCATCAGTTACCCAGAATGCTTTGTGTGTAAATAAAATGGCTCCGTCCGTGTTAAAATATATATTTTTTAAAAATTACAAAACTAAACAGTCTACAGTATTTTTACAGTCTTTATTTTACAGTTAAACTAAATTTTTATCAAATAAAGTTTAATGTTACAACTAATCGTGGATTCCTTTAAGTAAATTATGCAAATTGTATTTAAAACAATTTGAATTCAAACGGACTTGAAAATGAGATAGAGTTCACCAGTTTTTCCACTTAAGTGTCATTTCCAGGATTGTACTCGTGCAAATTGTGTATTATTTGTTTACCAACACAGACTCCGGCCTAACGTAGGTGAACCACGTGACTCAAGCTTCCACGTGGTTTTTGATGGATTCAGATGAGCKCTTTGTCTACACTGACTGTGTACCTGTATTCCTGGATTGCATTCAGTATTTCTAGAAAAACCACAGGAATAAATACGTTCAAACTGCACAGGTTAATCTTTTTTAAGTTTAATTTTAGAATTTGCAACGAGTACCATAAACCATTTGAACACACCTYGTTTTTCCGCAACTGGTTTTGACGCTTTTCATGTAGAGATGCTCAGATAATGTTTTTTTTCCGCCCCTTTTAAAAGGCTGGAGCAAACTATGCTGTCCTTGTCCTTAACTGCTGCCAGGGAGAGTGGAGCTATCCGAAAAACCAGCCCACTAATCAAAGCCATATGACCGGCTCAAAGTAAAGTCTGTGTTGAACGAACAGATGCTAAGTGTCCCACAGCTTAGCTCCGAGACTAGCTCTCCCCCCACACTGTCTCCAACTTTGATCAGGGAGTAGCCCATGAATCAGTTTTAGGTTCGGTTTATTATTTCATTAAACTGGCAGTCTTTTCTAATAAGACTGCCGGGGCCGAGGGATCAAATAGCCCATGAGGCCGKTGTCATAAGTCAAGATGCGGTGTTTAAGTCTACCTCGATTGCTCCCTCATTTGGAAATATACAGTCTGGAATTAAGCAGATCTCCACATAAAACCCCAAACAGGTGATAGAGAGCGCCGGCGGGGGCCCCTATATCTCAGACTAAACTCTCTGTCTGGCACAAAGACGGAAAGAAAAAGAGGCTGGCATTCCTTTCTCGATTTCCCCAAATAAACAGTGTGCAGATGAAAAGTGGGAACATAAACAGGCCCCGAGAACCTCGAAATGTGCACACGCACACACACGCACACACACACACACACACACACACACACATACACACACACCTCACTCAAATGTGCCTCTCGAGTCTGAAACAATATTTAGTGGGAGGGAGAGCTGACTCAACACAAAGCAAGGGGAGCTAGTAGCATGGGAGGGGGCTTTTTTTCCTGCCTTTTATCTGCTTTTAAGCCCACCTGCCAGCAGATCCAACAGAAAGAAGCTACTCCATGCGACTGAGAAGTGTTGATCCCGTTCATCTCTGAAATGCGGGTCCGCACTCAACATAAACAGGGCACTCATATGACTGAACCGTCATTAGGCCGGTGTGGGTAAACAAATATGTACAAATCAGACACGCGTGGAACTTAAAAGACGACATTTAGTTAAAAAAAATATGAAAGTGAGTCAGACGCTAAAAGCAGAAGAAAAGCGAAAGAACGAGAGGTTGTTTCTGAAGGTAAACAAACACACGTGTGGTCACAAATTTGACCTACAACCTTTTAATGTAAGGACACAATAACCATAGATATGAGGGTGATGTGCACTTTGTTTCTTCCTTCATGACTTTTATGAGCCACACTGATAAAATAAAATAAAATAAAAAGTTGGAACGAGGAAGTTTGCTCTGCTTGCAAGAAGTWGCAGCCAAAATAAAGTCAGTCCTGTTTAAAAAAATACCTTCCTTGGCAATGTTATCGAATTCGAAGCTTTCCGTGGGAAAGAAACTTGTAAAATGTTTTGTTTTCTCTAAAATCTATCTGTGCCACAACCTCTTTTACCACAGGTTCAAGTAAAAATGAGAAAACTGTCTTTTCTTTTAGATTTAGATTTTTTAATTTATTTATTTTTGGCAGATGAAACAAACTATTAGGATGACACATGTATATTTTCTGCTCTTCAATGACTGATAAATGTGCTGCTTTTATTTCTCCTACAAGAAGGAGAAAATTGCGCCCCCAGCTGGAGAAGGACACAATGCCACCCTTTACTGTATCTGATGGCAGCTGACAGCCACATCATTCATTGACCGGCACAACGCACGCACACACACATGCACACAAAAATACACACAAAACACACACTGACTGCCCTGTCACAAGCCAATTAGGAATTGTTTTATTTATTTTTTTCCCAGGACTGCAATTAAACTAATTACTCAACGTCATAATAAAGTGAATAAAAAATCTACTTTTTAATCCACTGCAATTATAATTTAAATAAATCTGAAAACTACCTGAAGGAGACATCCAGCAGAAAAGGTTCCTGCAGGAAAGAAGTCTGGAGTTGAGAACTGCCTCTTAAAGAAAAAAAAAAAAAAAAAAAACCCGGCAGCATCACACACCGTTTCCCTCCTCCACCCTGCAGAGACCAGCGTGTCCCGGACAGACTCACCTTCCGTCGCTGGACCCCCCCCTGCAGGAAGCGTCCTCTGTCTTCTGTCCCCAGCAGCGGAGCGGAGAGGGAGCCGAGCCGGCGGAGGGACAACAAGAGCCTTCAACTTCACACAACCGGGGCTGAAAAGTTGATGTGAAGTTTCCGAGATGTGGAGGTGGGGGGGAAAAACCCGGAAATGTGTTCGCTTTCAAAATAAAAGTCCCGATTTGAGCTCAACTGAATGGAGGTTGTGATCTGGATCTGAGCAGTGCGTGGCTTGTTTTAAC